TTTAAATCGCTTAAAGCACGCTCTAACTGATAACAAAACCCTTCTTCATCGCCCGCCAATGTTTGTATAAACGCCAACTTGATCTGGTATCTATCACTTTGACATTTGATTGACAGCTTGCTGCTCTCGACCAATAGGGAATTTACGGCCAAATCGAACTGTAGATTTCGTAAAACCGTGGGGTCCGCTTGCAGGCCCTTCCTATTTTCCTCCCCACTCCCCGCTCGGCCGGCCCTCCCCAATCCCCTTAGGGCCGCTACGCAGGCTATCACAATAGGTTCTTTGGCCCCTGGGAATCATCGCCGCTTGGTGTGTCTTATTTATAGGCAACGTAATGGTTGATCGCCACTTGCTTCCAATAATTTTTTTTGCAGCGTTTAGAGCAAAAAAAACGTTGAAGAATACTGAAGATTGTGTATATATTCCAAGAGCGAAACACATTGAGGGTCTTTCTATCTCTGGTTCAAAAGGAGTGTAATTCATGGTTTCAGAGTAACTATCACCTGTGTTGCGGTCTGACTTCTAAGAAAAGAAATTAAATTTAGAATTGTCATTCTGTAACGCAGCTACTACTCGAAGTTTAGTAAGTCTCTCAATGGCCTGAGTCACATGCAGTCCTCGGCCACTGCCAATTTCTTTAATTTTTATACACGACAAGATCATACGGCGAAAAAGCGGCGTTGAACTGAGGATCGCAGGTTCGATTCTCGACTTTAGCACTAGTCTGAGATCAGGCTCTCTCGAAGAGGTTTGGGGCGGAGCGAGAAAGGAGAGTGAGGGACTGACCTACTTTAGAACTTTTAAACCATTTTTTGTCCTTTTTAACTTTTAAAAAGTGCACATAAATCATTTTAGAAAATCATTTTTAAAAAAAGGCAAATATATAAATTATAATGATGCTAATCATTGTTTTGAATGCTAATGATGTGACGTCAAATTACACAGRAAGCCCAACGGCAGATTTATTTGACTGCTGATAATTTCCATATATGGAATTTTCTGAAATCTCCCTAGCCCCTAAAATWACTCCTTATGGTAAACTCTAACTTCAAGCAAAGTTTCATTCTTCTATCACAAAGTGCACGATTCGGGCAAAATTTTGCACGTAGCACCTGGACTCATGTAATGACTAAAACATCAAATCATCAAAAAAATGCTGCAAAGAAATCTATGCCATACCCTCTGGTTGTTGAAAAATATGGGATAGTAAATTTTATTTTTTTACAGTAAGTCAAGAATCTTGACAAGAAAAATGTTTGATTGATGTACAGAGACATGTGGGTCCACACAACGTAACGACGTTCAGGACCAATGTCGGGATCCCTGTTGTAGGGTCACGTGACACGGGGGAAGGGTTACTGCAGGAAGTAAAGAGAACGTCTAGAGTGAATCATTTCATTTCTGTATCGACAATGTGGCGAGCTACAGTCGGGGCAGATGTAAATGTTGGAGGGAACGGTGATGATGACGACTGGGAGACAGATCCTGACTTCGTGGTTAGTTTGATATCATTAATTTTTACATTCATGAACTTGGCTAAACTTCAACTTCAATTATGCTCAGCTCGTGGCAGTTTGGACATGAGTAATCGAACGATGCTTAAGCTTAAGTTAGTTGTTAAAATAGAAACGTTTTTTTATGATAGGATATGGTTTGTTTGAATGGCCGTAATTGCCATGACTAGTACGCAATTTACATCGTTCATGGCTATAGTTATTTATCGATTGTTGTCAGTCAAATGATGGAAATTATCGTGTGGCATTCCTTTACAATCATATAAATAACACACCAAATTGTCTATAATGTAGGACTGATGTTCATGTAGTAGATTGTAGCCAGTGACTGACTAGCACGTTGTATTATTGCATYTTGAAAATACTTGGCCTGCCTAAGMATCAAATTARCAAKTATTGATAGCTGGAATTGCAGCAMCCTACATGCAAGCWTCTACATGTACACTACAATGATTCATGAGGTGCCTTAAGCTCTGCCTTATCATTTTGGCCCAATCTGCTACAATCATATTGGAACTATACATTCACTAATATGTCATTATCATCTTCTTTTATTTCATTTAAATTTACCTTTTCTAAACGGAATATACATGATCAACTGTTCTAGAATGATGTATCAGAGCAAGAGCAGAGATGGGGAGCAAAGACTGTTGAAGGATCAGGTCATCAAGAATCTTTAAAGTAAGCAAATAATTAAAAGCTGGGACACAATATTACTCAAACTATCTTGTTATAAACAAATGTCATTATTTACCATTTTGTTAACCATTTGTCAACTGATTGGATAGTCTTTTTTTGTTCAGTTTTTTGTTCAGCAGGGATGGATTAGCTAGGAGGAGTGCTGTTTTAAGGAAATACAGTGCAATTTTCTTTCAAAAACAAACATTCTGATTGGCTAAGAAACTTGAAAAAACTTTAGCCTATAAAATATCAACGTTTATGATTTTTCTTAAGCTAAAAAAATAGCAGCCATTAAATGAGGTTTCCTAATAATTAAATGGTACTTCATTTCCTAAAATGAKKCCTGGGTGTTCTTAATTCACATRTTCTTATAATGGKKTTTTTTGAGTTTGTGTCATTATCAYAGCAGTAGTTTTAATAATATTAATGACAAACTCTATTTTGTCTTAAATTGATTTGAATAGTATCAAGGATCTCAGACAGCAGGTTGAACATGATCATCAAAAGGTTAAGCAAGGTAATCCTGAAATCATCAAMACTGAACTAGATTTCAAATTTGACCGTGACAGCTAATTGTAATTATACTGTTATGTTTAACTTTCAAATTATTTATATTTTTCAGATGAAATGGAGTCAGGGTATCCTTTTGATCAGTTTGTTAGTATAATGATTTAGTAAAATATACACAGCCTTTTGGAAAAGCATTCGACATTTAGGGCATAAAAATACTCAATAAGTAGATTGAAATACCTTGGGATTAGTGACAATACACAAAATAGAAGGTACTCATCAAGAACTATAGTCTGTAATATTATATTGAACAAGACAGGCAATGTGTAATATTATATTGAACAAGACAGGCAATGTGTAATATTATATTGAACAAGACAGGCAATGTGTAATATTATATTGAACAAGACAGGCAATGTGTAATATTATATTGAACAAGACAGGCAATGTTTGTGAGAACTCAAGACAATATTATGGCTGACCTTTGTGAAAAGAAATCATTCAAATCAAATTTGCATTGTTTCCAATGTGGTGATATAATGAAATAACACAAATATAGCTCTTGTTGTATAATCTTTTACTTATAACTAGTCCTAAAGCATCATATGGTTACGGTGGAAAGTTTGGTGTTCAGAAGGACAGACAGGATAAAGTATGTTTATTCATTATCTACTAGTAATTATGTATCAGTCATCAAATTCAAGGGAATGTATAGTTTATAGTGTTCAGTAGACACTGGTCTRAGATGGCTTGGAATGGAGCTTTTTGTTGTTGTTAATAGTACAACTGRTTGGTCTTTATTTGCCAGAAAATTTCATACCTCAAATATTTAGCAATCACTTAATTTTAATTAAAAGGTCTATTGTTACCAGGGTCCATGCAGAGTATCAAATACGAAATTTAAGGACTTTTCAAGGACTTTTCAAGGACCAAAATTGTATTGTCAAGGAACATCATAATCATGCTAATTGTACATTCTTACCTCACAACTCCAACCGAACGGAATAATTAAGAGATCGCTCGCGCCTCGTGATACAGATCTATCTTTTTCAAGGAGTTTTCAAGGACTTTTTAGAAATTTTCACATTTTCATGGAGTTTCAAGTGCTCTTGAAAACGAGTTTTCAATTCAAGCACTTTTCAAGGATTTAAGGACCTGCACAAACCCCTGTTACATAATTATTATAAATTTTTGATTGATAATTATTTTTTATTATTTACTTTAGAGTACTGTAGGCTTTGATTATGAAGCAAAGCTATCCAAACATCAATCACARCAAGGTAATGCATGCTATTAGTATATTATAATCTTAACCATATACTTACCCAGGAATTCCTGGATGCTAGTTCCAATCCTCTTTGGAGGGTCAGGGAAAACCTACAATCGTTGACAAAATCCTTGGACCATTGCAGCGAATTTCCTCATTTTAAGCAACACCCGCAGACCCGCATTTCATCCCCCTGACCTCTTAAATGCAATGTTGTCAATGATCATGTTACCATAKTACACAAGCATTCAAAACAAGGACCAACATTGATGAAAGGGGGCTAAGGGGGAAAACTGTSAAAAACTRTAGGAGAAAAATAATAGGCTGGAGACAAATAATTGTACGGTCCAAKGTATTTTGGCAATGATTGTTGATTAATTCTTGTCTAACGTAATTTTATAGGCTAGGCCTGTTTACTTGCTAAGATACTGTAATTGAATTACAGTCTAGTAATTAAAAAGAATAAATCATAAAASACAATCATGTACTTGTAAGATCACTCAGACTGAAAGCCTTTTTTTCTACAAAAGTCATGGACAGTTCGACGTGTAGTAGAACTCACAGCTGTAGGACGTTTTTATTCCTTGCAAACTTGCTTGTGTTATTAGCTAGTTACACTAAGGTTTGCATGGATTTGGACTGATATGCCATGCCATGGTTTGTTTATTAAGGTATGTTATTTTTGTTTAGATTATGCCAAGGGCTTTGGTGGTAAATATGGTGTACAAAAGGATAGAGTTGATAAGGTGACTAACAGCAAACTACATGTATCCATAATAGCAAATTGGAACTGCCACTATGATTGGCTGTGTAGTTTTCAAGACAACAATGACATTCTATAGATTAGGTTTTCTTTGCTTAGCAAGCAGCTTGAAAGAAGACAAAGAGGCGTTTTTAACTTATCTTGAAAGCCACGCCCCAGTTGTKGAAATCACGCTTTATACGTATAAAGTTCGGCTGCGATTCCATGTTTTGAATTTCTTTGAATCTCAATTACGTACKTTTTACAACACATAATTGRAGCAAACGACGTTRTTTTTTTTTCTTTTTACAGTCTGCAGTTGGGTTTGACTATGAAGGCAA